TTAAATTTTATATACACTTTGAGTAAATCAGATGCAATATTGTGACAAATGCTGAGAATTCCATTCTGTATTATAAGTACTGTTTTTGGAATAAAGTAAATTATTATTATTATTTATTATTATATTAGCAGTCGTACCAATCCCAGATGTCACTTCAACGAATTCATTTTCAAGTTCTACAGTTTTATTTAAATTACGAAGAAAGACATTAAGTGGAGCTAGAAATCAATCACTCACTATACATATGATAAGAATAAAGATAATTAAGGTGATGTAATAAGGAGGTTGAAGTAGAGTTGAAGTGGATGAATTATAAAACTCTTAAAGATTATTCAATAAGTGAATTGGTATAAAGATTTTAAAAAGTGTAGGTCAAGTTTGAGCTTCAGTGATATTCTGTCAAGCTTGCAGAAGCGCATGTTAATACAGATACTCTGAAAAGCTACATTAGGAATGGTGAATATACACAATTTTATTGGAAAATATAATGCCATAATCAGGTTTATCTTAATGGTCGAACTCTGAATTTGATCGACGCCATACAAACATGTCTTCCAAAACCCGACAGTAACATATCCCAACGCCTGAATTTCGGATTTTAACTAACAGAGATCAAACGTAGTTATTTGAGGACTATATGTTAGGCTTGATAACGAAAACATCCGATGATGTAAGAATTAAGATATTGAAAAGTTGCAAAACAGCCGAATCACAGTGCCAAAGAAGATTCTCTTTACGAGTTTGGCTTTCACAAGTGGCACTATTGTTGAAATAATTAAAAGTTTTTTATCTGAATGTATTAAACGTTCTTTTTATGCATCTTCTGGAGTCATGTCATTCAGCCCCACGTGATTTATCCTTCAAAGTTTTTTACAGGACCGAATCCAGCCACTACAAAAGCTTATTTTCTCTCCACTAATGCATAGCCGAAGCTCTAGCTATGCATGGACAGAAACCTAAACCTCCTTCTTCACCTTAGTGGTAGTAATTTTCTTTAATTTTTCTCTATTTTACCACTTGAATACTTTCCACTTCATCACCGTCTTTATTATTATTATCATCATCGTACTCTTAATTGTTTTGGACAACACTTGACCTACAATTTTTAAAATCTTTGTACCAATTCACTTATTGAATAATCTTTAAGAGTTTTATAATTCATCCACTTCAACTCTACTTCAACGTCCTTATTACATCACCTTAATTATCTTTATTCTTATCATATGTATAGTGAGTGATCGATTTCTAGCTCCACTTAATGTCTTTCTTCGTAATATAAATATAATTGTACAGATTGAAAATGTTGTTGAAAAGAAATATTTTTTTTCACTGAACAAGAACTGTGTTTTTCGTTATGAATTAATGGGTAGAAATTCATGATATACAGAATAATTTGGTACAGTTAAAATCAAAGGATTTTACATAGGCAGTACATGTAAGCGATACCTAATGCTTTAGTAGTGACTAGTTGATTATTATCTTGTTTCTTCGTTCTGTTAATAATACTGGATAATTATGAGCAGTATTTAAATAGTGTTATTCTATTGTAACATTATGCTCTACCACAGTGCCCAAGTTTTATACTTATATCAGTTTTATTCTTTTGATTCGCCGTTTCGGTTTTTCCTAATATTCAAAGTTGTTTTCACAAGTTTATGAACAGTATGTTATGTATTGTGAAGAAAGTTGCATGCAGTCGGCGAATCTGAAATAGAATGATACACTCCTCAACGATTTTATCCTTATCGTTTACCAAATATATACGATTAAAATCTCATTACAGACAATTAAGACGTCTAAACTACAATTCAATGATACAAAAAAGGTAGTCACTTGGTGTATATCAGAGCTGGAATAAATCGTACGAATGCGTTTCCACTGAGTTATTGTGTGCGATGATAGAGGTAAACACAACAAGTCAAATGATTTATGAAATAGCCTTTGCAAATGTAGGGGAAAAAGTAGAAAACTAGAGGTTATTTTTGTGATATTACTACTATTAAAACTGCACATAATTCGACTGAATTACTGATTTGTTTTCCACAATCTACCAGTTTTAAAGCAAAACGGTATGAGTCAGTCATTATACTGGCTAAAATAGCCACTCGGCTTGAACTGATTTCACCTTAATTCTGTTTGAAGACCAAGTGATAATCATTATAATAAAGGTTGTTTGTATTTCCCAATGAATGAATATCGTTTTCAAGTGTTGGTTTGTAGGGATTTGATTGGTTTCAGGATTTTCATCATGAGCTGACATCAGTTAGAGAACCAGTGGAAAACCTGGGAGTACTGAACAGCTGTTTCATCATGGTTTGGGACTCTTCAGCAGTACGCACCCACCGGGATTCGAACCCAGAACCTTCTAGTTACAAGGCGAGCTCGTTTTGTTTTCGTTCATTGGGAAATGCAAAAAACCTTTATCATAATGAATATCATATACCCAATGCCCAAATTTCTTCAAACTGTTTGAAGGAACTTGGTTTGGACATATATAACCAAGTGATAATGAATAATTAATGCCTTGAGATCAACATTAAAGAATCAGATTAAGTGTCATTTATCACTAAGCTGACTTGCCAGATTTTGGAGTATACGGTTTAGTCTCAGGCAATTTTAACTAAAATTCTGAATCATATAATAATAATAATAACAGTAATAGCTTTATTCTGAACAATGTTTGTATAATGTACAGAATTTTCGGCGGAGTTTATTGCGTGGTACTTCCTCTTCGTCAAGGATCTTCAAATGAAAGACTGACTGACAATAAATCGTGTGACACAGTTCTATCTGACCTGAAGCGGAAACCAGTCCACCACTATGATATCTCTTCTTTTCCTCCTTTGAGAAATACACTACATTTTGCTGAATGCTAATCATAAGAAGTTCAGGAGTACATTTTGTGAACCAAGGACACCACTCATGAATGGTTATCTCTTGTACTGGGATAAGCTGCCAACGATGATAATGCTTTTCTCATGTTTAGTAGAAAATTGCGAAACCTCAGGTTGTGAATGTTTTAAATATCCGCGAGAGTATATATTACCATTGGAGGTGATCATTTACTAGAATTAAATAAACCGATTAAGAGAAATTACATGCAATATACTGATGGAGGTTTTCGGTAGCCCAAGTTTTAATCAGCCCACCAGTTCCAATCACGTAACACAAGGAATTAATATTGAGCTAAAATGCTAATACTGGTCATTATTTTCATTTTACCATGAATAGTGAACATACTTCACGAGAAATTAGATTAGACGAATATTATAAACTCAACTATCGAGTGACATTCACTCATCTGAAAGAATATGGAAAAGCTGACCGGTCTCAATATTTTACGTTAATTGTTCTTTGGATTTATTTTTTTTTTTTATTTATTAGACCTCGCCTGGTTAACTACTTAGATCTAACCCAACCCGGCTAAAGAAGGAGGGTTAGGTGTGGGGCTAGCAAACTATTAAACTGCTAGAGAAACTTCAACACACAAAATATATATTAAAAATACAAAAAATTCAAATGATAACAATGTTATTCTTCGCTCGAATTGGAGAGAAGAAATGAAGCAGCGGGCTGGTGACAGCCGGCCCTCGAGAAGCCAGTCAGTCAGCAGATGTGTCTTCTCTCGATGAAAGCAAGAATAAGAATGGGTACGTGTAATGTCCGTAAAATAAACAAACCTGGCCGGGAAGGCTGCTCAGTTAGCCAAAGAGATGGAAGATATACCGAAGAAGCAGTGGCCATCTGCGAAAGCAGATGGAATGGATGTGGACTGACAATACTATCAACGGTATAGTCAATAATCCACTACGGTCTGGTCACTCAGACGACAACCACGAGCACAACTAGGCAGTGAACGCCTATCATGATGTCAACAACAACATCCGAAGCCCTAATGCAGTGGAACCAATCTCCTCCTGAAATTATTTATTTTTATTGGATGATGTTGGTGTCTGAAGAAGGCTGCATGGAAATATTTATTGCAATAAATAATCTCTGAGCATTTCACGGAATATACAAAAATGGTGGGCAGTGAGTTCTAAGCCTGTCAACATAATGGATAAGGATTTCATGTAAATTCATCGGAAAAACTAACCAAAATATTTTTGTTTAATAACCTTCACTCCTGTCTACCTCAACTAGCACACAATAAACACGTTACGGACAGCTCCTACATTTATTTTTACTCTTAGTAGGGGGTGGAAGCATCTAATTTGTTTGGTGAAATACAAAGGTGAAACTCAGCTTAATGGATATACCGTTGGGTTGAATATATAAAAGAAGACATCAATAACTAATTTGTAAAATTTCAACCTGAGGTCATCATCCTCTAGGTCAAAAATAAATATTTTAGCAGACATTTTTTTCCTCCAATCAAACAACTATCTGGAAGATTAATTACATTCAACTAGTAAATATTTGGGTTATGTCACAATAAAAATGATTTGTCATTTTACTGCATTATTTTCATATTTCATCCTACACAGATTTATCATTCTCACAGGTTTCCGTATTTTTATTCACACACCCGTGGTCAACATATCATTGGCAGAGATTGAAGTTCACACGTATAAACTAATATATACGCACACACACACCTTTTATGGTAGTAGGATAGACATATTGTAGACAACATTCGAAATGCAATTTGCTTCAGAGAAAAAAATGGATGTAAGCTTGTGTGTGACTTGGTGTTCGTTCGTGTGATGGTTTGAAAAATGTAGAACATACAACAAACATTAACAAAACTGGCAGGTGATAGACAAAACAAATAAAAGAATTTCTCAACCAAAAATTAGTTTAATTTTACAATTCACTGTCACGGAACCGTATTTTTTGGTATTACTTTCCCTAACACCTCAGTAGAATGCTGAAGTTAAACCTGGAGTATACATTGTGATAGTAAAGTAACATAACTACTTCAAACACTACACCCACAAACATATAAGGCACATTTAAATCTAATGTAATTCACTTTAGTCTGAATTAAATGTTCAACAATGAGATCACTATTCCAGCTGCTATTTATCATTGAATTTATATATTCAATAAACAGTGTTTTAAGTGAAGAACGCTATGAATTTAGTCGAAATTTCGATAACCGCTTACCACAATTTGGCAAGAAAACATTGACAAAACAAAATACCATCCGCCATCGACCAGTAAAACAAAATAATTATAATTCTGAACGATTAAAGAGAAATTTCTTACTTGATGTCAATTCACACAGTTCATCATGTCGATCTGGTTCACAGTCATTTCAGTGTGCTCCACCCTTCAAAGATATCTCACGTGGAGTAAGCGTTCATGCTACTTCTACATGTGGTGAACAAAGACCACAACGTTTATGTCGAACTAGTGCAAGCTGTCAAATATGTGATGCTAATTCAACTCAGCTGAAGTTTTCATCAGACCATTTAACTGATCGTCATAGCATTGATAATCAAACGTGTTGGGCTTCAGGTTATATTCAACCCGGTGAAACAGTCAACCTCACAATATCTTTGGGAAAACGTTTTGAAGTATACTATATATCTTTGCAACCATGCAGTATAGGCAGTTTACCACATTCAATTGCAATATATAAGTCTTCTGACTTCGGTCGTACATGGCGTCCATGGCATTATTTTTCAACAGACTGTTTCCGTGCTTTTGGTTTGCCTACTTCAAATGAACATAACAGTCATATCACATCGGCTAATTTACAGGAAGTATTATGTGTCGCATTACAACCACGTGAGACTTACTACAGCCGACAAGGTAGAAGAGTACGTTCAATGACTAACTATGTTTTTAATAAACCAAATATTACGAATAGTTTTGAAAGTATAGGAGTGCCAGCAGATTGGGTGATTGCATTCAGTACCACACTTGGTCGACCTGCAACACGTCCATGGAGTCCAGCATTAATTGACTGGATGACTATGACTGATGTACGCATCAGTTTGATGAATTTTCATCAATTTAACGAAGCAGATTATCGTGTCAAAAGAAATGCATATGGAAATCACTATCCTAGAAATCTACACAGACCAGTATTTCATCTGAATCAAATCAAGCGAACTCGCAGTTCAAGAGATGGTCAAACAAATACTGAGCTACCACCAACGGAGAATAACAAAACAGAAGAATTACTTGATCGGAATTATTTGCCAGTCACCTCAAAAACAACAAGTAATTTCACTGATCAACCAGATACCTTATCTGAAAATGAGTTTTATGCATTCGCTGATATAGCTATCGGTGGACGTTGTAAATGCAACGGGCATGCAAGTGAATGTATATTGGGCTCTAATGGAAAACTGGTATGTGCTTGCGAACATCATACATCAGGAGAAGATTGTGAATATTGCAAAGCTGGCTATATGGATCGACCATGGGACAGAGCTACACCACAGGAAGCAAACGTTTGCAAAAGTAAGTAGGTCGTTCTCTAGCTACTCTTATTTTAAGCTTTTAAATACATGAAAAAAAATTTTGTTACTTGTTAGACACTAGGTATAATAAATTTTGCACTTAGATGATGCTTAAATTAAACAGCTGCTGAATAGTGAACCAATATTTCTGTTTAAATCATGTCAAAACATATTTCTGTTGAAACCAGAAGTTAGCAGCGGGTAATATTCAAACCGGATCATTGTCCAGCTTAATGAAGTTTCTATTTTCATGAGATTAGTGAACTAACAACAGTCACGTCTTTTCTCTCAGTTTGAATCATCGCCTCTGTGATAAGTAGATTAATCCACTAAACAAATATTACCTGCAGTCGTCTAATCGACAGTTATACTAGTAAGAAAAAGATTCTGCAGTTAGGTCTTATGCAATATACCTGCATTTCCGATGCATTACTTTGATTATTTTTAACATTGAAAAGCAGTGATTCTCGATAATCACTGCTGGTGACGCGAGATTTTTCTACTTGGCATTTTCATTGAATGCAGGCCCTTAGCCGCCGATTCAAACAAGTTCTACATGCATTGGATGCTACTTATCGTTAGGTTAATTAGCCTGCATTCAACTTAATGAGTTCAATGCTGATTTCATCAAAACTAGACAGCAATAAACAATTCCCAAGGCGGTTTAAACTGCCCTATAGACTATTCTAATTCACCTTTTGGTGAATATGTTGATTCAGTCGTATATTTTGCTTTATTATGTGTTAATTAATCTCAGCTCTCAGATTACAACGTTGAATTATAGCGCCTTTTTGGTCAAAATTAACCAAGCAAAAAGCTCAGACACTGCTTTATAGTTGGAGAGTTTGTTAGGATAGTTAATTACTTTTCATCACAAAAGGATATTAATTCCGAAAATAATTAGAAACTTGATAACACTAAATGACTGCTCTATCCTAGTTTATCTTTCTTCATTTGTCTTCTGACACAGGATCTTCAGGTCCTGTAGCAGGTATACGACCGCTGCTTCTCAGGGTTACGATGCAACAGCTTGTGTTTTCCTAATGCAGTTGTTATCTGATTCACAAGGCTAGCTTTCAAAATCATCTAATGATTTCTGATATTCCTCACTTTCTCAACATTTTAAACTGCACCTTGGAAAATGTCTCATAGTCTAGAGACTTTTCAAGGATTTAGGCGTTATACGGTGTATGTCGGCTTACATCTGATATGAGCAGTGGGCATTTTCTGAACATCTAGGTATCTGTCAATAGCTTGATAAGATTTTCTACCCACATTCCTTTGAATGACTTTATACTAGCCGGCACTAAAAATAAATCGTTAATAAAAAAGTGTAGGCTTCAGAAAAAGATGTTCGTATTATCACACGAATAAATTATTTCTAGTTTAAATGAAAGGCTATTTTAAAACGTAAACAGAAAACAGTATTCAAAGTATTACTCATGTATATGCATATATATACTTTTTTATGACATGTATGAGTAATATAAACCACTATTTGGACACTGATTTATTATTCAAAAGTTGCGTAATTTACTTTCTACACGTTCGGATAAGCACAACTACACACTGAAAACAATTCAGTAGTTATGCCAGATAGAATTCAAACAATATTCAACATAAAACAGCCATTAAGAGGACGATGTTGCTACTAGACCAACTTATAGTGATATCAAATTTCCTTTTTTTATTTTGTCAGTTTAAATATAATTTATGAGTCCAACATTATTAGTAAAAAAGATCAATATTGAAAAGACAGTACAGCTGTATTGCCATTTGAAAAAAAGATAACAGGTTTTCGTTTGGATGGTTTTTCATTAGTTACATACCACATCAGGCAAAGTCGTCGGTTATAGGTATACACGCCATAGAATCAGGCCACAAAAATGTTTTTGACAATATTTTAATAATCCAAAAAAATTTTAGCAATCACAAGGAATGTCTAATTTCAGAAGCACTTCATTTAAATGGGATCCGAGTTGTCTGAATAGGAATGGTTTGTTAAGACAGAATTTGACCTGGCTGCGACACCTCAACTTTCCCCGTCACCAAGTGACAAATTCAACACAGGTGTGATAAGCAGTTTCATTATGTAAACACATGTTGTTTTTACAATTTCATACACTTATCAAATGCAATAAAATACACATAGTTTTCCTTATAGTAAAGGTTTTTTGTATTTCCCGATGAATGAAAACAAAACGATACTGCTTTTACTGACGTTTCGCTATTTAATGCTAAAAGCTTTATCAAAGTATTATTAAACCAAAATTTACAAAATCTCACTTCATATATAACAACTTAATCATCATTCCTCAGCATGGGGTAATTTTTGCGTTGTCAAGTTGGCCAATTGTTAAAGATAACAAAACCAGGTGTAGATTGTTGGATTTGATAAGTGTATAAGATTATACAAGCAGCGTGTGTTTACATAATGAAATTACTTATCATATTCTTGTTGATTTTTTGATTTCATGGGGAGGTGGGTGTTGTAACCAGGTCAAATTTTGCTTTAGTCCATCATTCCTATTCAGATAATTTGGATTGCATTTGATATGAAGTGCTTCTGACAGCAGTCGCTCTTTGTGATTTCTGAGATTTTTCTGGATCATTTCAATATTTTCAAAATCAGTTTTGTGTCCTGTAGACCTTGTAGCTTGTAGACCTATGACTGATGATTTTTCACGCTTTTCTAGTACAACTAGATTTCTCGGTGGTCGAATAGATGCTCTACGGTGTTCATTTCTTCTGATCTTGATTTCTCGTGATGTTTATCCGATGTATATAGCATCACATTCTAAGCATTTTATTTTATGGATACAATAAGAGAATATTTAGGGATTTGGTCTTTTATATGGACAAGGCCGTTTCCCAGTGTGTTTGATGTTTTGAAGAAAACTCTGATATCGAGCTTATTGAGTACTCTTCTGATATCATCTGACATCTATGCTCCGTATGGAATCACAACTGTTGAGGTCTATGTTTTCGGAATACTTTTTCGACCATATTTATTGTCATTGTTGATTTTGTTGATGAAGTTCTTTGGGTAGCTATTCTACTTGAAAGTCTCGGTAATGTTTGATATTTCTTCTCTTTTATTTCTCATCCATTATCAGAGTGTGCTCGTTTAATAAGACTTGAAACAACCGATACTTCACCGACATCTGATTCTGCTTCTGAAGTAAATCGGATACTGGGAGATAGATTGTTTTTCCTCCAAGAATGAATTGTGTATATTTCGTTTTAGCACTACAAAAGTATCATCTAAAAATCTTAACCATGTTTTATGGGTATGCTTGAAAAGATGTTAGCTTCGAATCTATTCATGAAACGATCAGCGACTATTAGGGAAACTGGTGAACTCATAGCAGCACCATTTGTCTGTCTATATAAATTCCCTTTAAATGTAAAATAATTACTTTCTAGACAGAATTTTAAGCTCTTAATTATTTCACTTGTGTCCACTGGACATCTTTGTGATAGTGTTGTATCTGATTCTAGTAAACTGGAAATGATATCAAGACTTTCAGTAATAGGGATACTAGTATATAATGAGTTAATATCATAGCTTACCGTAATGTCTTCTCTATCAAATTCTCAGTGTTCTATTTGGGATTCAAAATCATATGAATCCTTTACAATATTTTGAGTGTCCTTTTGCAATGGTTGTAGTATTGAAAATAAGTATTTGGAGACATTGTATGTCGTTTTGTTATCTTTAGCAACTGACCAATTTGACAACATGAAAATTATCCCCTGCTGAAGGATGAGGATTAAGTTTGTATATATTAACTGAGATTTTGAAAATTCTGGTTTAATAATGCTCTGATAAAGCTGTTGGCATTAAACAGCGAAACGTCAGTAAATACAATGTCGTTTTGTTTTTATTTCATTGGGAAATACAAAAACCTTTTTAACAATAAATGTCATTTACCCAGAGCTCAAATATTTTAAACCATTAAATGTGAACTTGATTAGGAAGCAAAAATATTTTTGCTGTATTTCCACTGTCATCACTTTGTGTGCTTTTAGTTTAAAACAGTTTCATTATTTTTTACCATTCGAATTTTAAATTTCAAATACAAAAAATGTTAGAAACAAAGGAAAATGATATATATTACCCTGGTTCGAGATACTTCAGCAGTATATATCCATGATCTCATGCGACACTGCCTCACTTGTTGAACATGTCATCATCTACTTTTGGATAAAACATCGATAACACATGTTTTTTTCTTTTCTTAAGAGTTCCTCATATGATATTGCATTCTATTACTTGTAATACGCTCGAATAACTCGTACGGCATAAGTTAATCATTGCTGTATGCTTTTATCTTCATAATAACACACAAGCAACCCTTGTTCCATTCATTTGAATCTAGGTCACTTGATTTCATCTGGTGCTTTTTGAAGCGGTTAGCACACACGGACTAATTAATTTACATTCCACATGAATTATTTTAGTGTTAACTCCAGTTTTCTAAGATAAATAGCTTTTCTGATAGAAACGCTTGGATTACTTGATTTTAAAATCTCGATATTAATTGACAACCGAGGTAAGCGGTTATTATCAGTTAGCAACGAAAATAAGTCAAAGAAATAACAGTACTTGAAAAATAATGAGTAATCTTACTTATTCGAGAGAGAGTTGACAACTAATTAGCCAAGTGATGAATAGTCATAAGGAAATAAGTGACAGGAAACATAGGAACAAAGAAATGAAATTGAGTTACCAAAAAAGAATCTCAAAAATAAAAGACTATATAGAATTTATCATTTAGCGAATCAGGAAAGTCAAAACGACACTTTGGCTGTGATAATTAAAGAGGCTAGACAAAATGTTTCGGAACAAAAAGTTCAAGTTTTCCCAAAGGGATCGCTAGAGCTTTGGCCACATGAACAAGAAATAAACAAAATCCTTTCGAACAGTTTGACCTTGATTTATACATTGCTCTGAATGCAGTCTCTGCTGATGTTGCCTGACCACCAGAAGTAGTGGTG